AACTAATCATCACGACACATCAACGCATAAATAATTTAAACAAACAAAAAACACAAACCTACATACTAATCACAAAATTCCGCGATTCCCGTGTACATTTCTTATCTTATCACCGATGACTGCTGAGCCGGATCCGAGTGAAAACCCAGAGTCAAATCGAGATCGAACTAAATTTAAAAAGGTGGTAATTAGAAAAGAGGGAGATGAGGAGAAATAGAAAATCGAGATATACTTCAGCCTGTCGACTTTCCTATGACTCGAATAAAAATGATTAACCAACTGCTCGATAACATTCCACGGGCAGTGTGATAGCCTAGCTTAATGAATAAATAAATTCCACATACGGTCAGAGAATTGAAATAATAATTATTGAATCATTGTTTACGTCGGTCCAAGGGAGAGAATGAGAGTCCACAGAGGTCAATGATGAGCCGAGGGAGGATTTATCGAGCAAATCATACAATTTGAACTCGTGGACTCGATTACCAAACACGACGGAATAATTAACACTTTTTTACTAGGGCGCTAGGGAGGGGAGAATACTGTCTTGGTTTTAACGTAGCCCAGTGCCTTTCATTTCGACAATTCTCCAGGTTTATATATATATATATTTTGTTCTTGTTTCTTCTTTCGAATGAAGGCACAATGTAATACAATAACACGACCACTGGGCTAGAGCTTGGAAATAGGGAGAAGGAGAGGGGAAAAAGGGAGGATTCAAGTACGCTACTCTTGTCTCTCTACGGTAGAGAGAATCTTCACGAGCGGTAGCTTCAGCACGTTTCACTATTTCCACTTTAATCTCTTCATTCTTCTCCATTATTACATTTTTCCCTTTTCACTCTGTTTATGCCTTGCTTTTTGGCTTGTTTTTCTGTGTGTTTGGTGGAATTTTTCTTTTTCTTTTTCTTTATCTTTTTCTTTTTTTGGTTTTCAACTATTTTCACACACAGTTCTTTTAACCATTCTGTCTCTTCGTCGTCCCCTCGTCTCTGATTTCTGGTGGTTACAGGGGGTAGAATGAAAGGGAGGAAAAAAAATGCGTTTCCAACACATTTGGGCGAACCACATGGAGCTTTTCACGTTTGCTGGTGAATAAAGAAGAGGGATGTGTAGGAAATTTTTCTTTTTTTTTCTCTTGCTGTTGCTGTTTGTTTCGCTTCTTTTGGGGCTTTCACATACATCCACACGCCTCTACGACCATGTTCGGCAGTGTTTTCTGGGTTATCGTATTATTTGAGTCTACGTAGAGTAGCTGGATAGGTGAGAGCTGAGTTGGCGAACAGCAGGGCACTATTTCGCTACCACGTCGGTGGATGCTGCTGTTCTTTGTCAACCATTTCTGCAATGGGAGAAGTGGTAAATGTGAATTTATTGCTTGGGGAAGATGTATAGGAGGGACGATAGGTACACCGACAGAAAAAACTACTTTTTACCGTGAAGATTTAGTTGATACGAGACAATATTGTCTTGTCCATTCCTAAAATCGGTAAAGGCTCTAAAAAAATTTTATTATCACAGTGAAAACGAAAGTATTTATCAGGGTATTGAGGGATTCCCCGATTTTTTTCGTCGAATGAAATTTGGCTGTTGGCATGCGCCAATTCCGGTGATTTTCATGTGATTTGATGCATAAACTTGATGATTGGAACTGCGAAATGCGCTTGGATGTCGTCAAGACATCGCGGGGACAGTTCATCAACTCGGTGAAACTTGTCGAGATTATGGGAAAGATGGAAAATTTTGATATTGGAAAACTTTTCTCCCCTTGTCAGATTCTTTCCGTTTTTCAAGCACTGATTTGTCTTCCAGTTGGGTATTAGGATACAGATCTGAATGCAAGAAATTTTAATAAACTCACTCGGATGACATTGTTGTATGGAGAACCACTCATCATTAATGAAGCTGCAGATGTGCATGAACCACGACAGAAATACGCGTGATAGCCACTCGGATGGAGAATCCAATCACTCCATCCAATCTCCTCGAAGCTTATGTACAAATCATCTCGGCAGCACTCTTTCATTTCCGGTAGGCAATTTGAATTGCGCTTTGGGCGATTTTTCTGAGGCAGGGGTGATGTGTGAATAACTAGAAATGGCTTTAAGGTCATTTCAGTTGATACTGGAGCATTTTCACGGTCTATTGAGCATGTGCTGCATGTTATTTGCATTGCGTGATTCAATCTGTGCTTTTCAACCCATTTTTTTATGGTGAAGGCCACGTCGGTTTTAACCCAGCCATCTATAATTTTTTAATTATTTGTTTCAATAAAAATCCAGTTTATTTCGTTTTTCATTGGAGGATTGATTTATATATATTTTTTTTTGGGATGATAAGTTATTAATTGATTTTATTTTACACTCACCCTCAATAGACGTCTCGAAAATCGCCATTATAGTATTTTTCTCGAAACTACCGCCCTGATCCCAATGATCGAGCTCTGACAGGACAAAAGTCTGCCCGAAAACATCATTTTCGTCGTTCTCTTTGTAAAACCAGAGATCAGCTGATGTCACAGCCACAAATTGCATCTCCCCGGGTAGATTAAAGGTGAAACATGCAGCTGGACTGAATCCAGTCAAATGATTCGAGGTAGTTCGACAATTGGTGAGATCGGTTGGGCCTAGAATAATTTGAAGAATAAATACTTCGCTTTCGACAATAAATTCATTTTCTCGATCGCACGATTTTTTTAGTTATTTTATTTCAGTTAATCAACGAAAACCGGTGGAATTCCAATCTTCCTCTAGTAGAATATTTTTCATTCTATCACGAATCTCTATTAAAAATCATTCAACCGAATGCAATATCAACTAATCGAGATCGCAGGAATTTCAGTTCCCTGATTAGTTCGAACCACTCGTCCGTTAAATCTCGACTCTTCAATTTTCTACCTCAGTTGCATATCAAAGCTCCTGCCCGAATGTTCGCTTCATCCCGGGGAGCTGGAAAAAAAAAGTAAAAAATTTGGAAAAATATGGAGAAATGTGGAGTTGATAAATAGCGTCCTTCTTCAGCGCCACTCCTATTCACTGTTGTAAAAAAATGCGATGAGCACTGGATGTAGGCCACTGTACTCGATATACCAGATGCAAAACGTCAAAAGCAGCTTCCAATGCCTCTGGACTCTACCTCCATTCACCGTCAGACGCAGTAGGGGATGAAATATTAATTCAGCGTGATATGCATTTGAAATGAGGACCTCTCCCAGGATTAAACACTGACAGATTTTTGATAAAACAGTGAATTCGATCATTAATGCATTGAAATATGAAATTGTTTCTCATATTCTCAACATATTTCTTCATATTTCATCAATCCGTGCAACAATGTAATTACGGTATTTTATTTATCAGCTGAGTAATTTTCCAATGAATCTCGGAATTTAATGTCAATTAATTTGGAATTTTTCGTGGTACATTTGTTTTTCATAATTAATTACATGAATAATTGTCAATTTTTGGACATTGGTAGGGCGCATGGGAAAATATTTAATCCTCTGATAACCACCAGAGGTGGCAACTTCATCCCCGAGATTCAATATTCCCCCCAGATTCGTTAAAAATTTCTCATCACGTTTATCCATGCGAATATGCCCGAGTACTGTCTACAGATGACTGACATCATTGTCAAAAAAAAAATTTAAATAAAAGCCGAGGTAGAGCAGACAAATGACGAAATGAGGAAAAAAAAATGCGGAGTAACTAGTGCAGAGTGAAAATAATGAACTCGGATTTCCATGCACTCCACCCGTAATACTGAATAATGACTTGCAATTGTCGGGTATTCCCGCTTTTCACTATTGGAATCACCGCAGTATCGAGAATATAGCAAGCCCCATCCACTAATTGATGGGTAATAATTCAACCGAGGCAAACATTTTTTTCCATTTTCACCGATTGGAGAAAAATTTACTACCTCAAACACCAGGAGTTTAGAATTAATGAACTCGGATGGTTGAAATTTTTGGAAAAATATCTTGCGATTAAAAAATCCGCTTAAATAATTCCATTGAATTATTGTGCGGACATTACGAAGAAGCTGACCGATCCAGAAAAAATAGTAATCACTAATAATTCATAATTCCTAATTGATTATTGATTATTTGATTGGGAAAAGTACTAAAAGTTTATATTTAGAAAAGCGACTTTTCAATTAAATACCGGACGTGATGTGTTGAGTAAAAATGAGAGCATCATACATTGATTTCTCACTCTTTTAAAAAACGATCGATGTCACCGTGATGAATAGGGACTGATATGGGAAAATAATTCAGTGAAGCGACGTCATGAAAGCTGGAGATGAAGGGTGATGGGACATCAGCGTGGTGCTGGTTGATTTGACCAATTACAATTCGGATGAATCCGTGAGATTCCAGAAGGAGTAATTAGGACTGACGACAATTAGGATAGACCGTCAACTCTATCGTGTTACTACTATGGCATTGGGGTAATTAAAGCGCAAGAGTGCCCCTCACTAGTTGGGGGTGGAGGATGCACTGGGATTTGTCCAAGGGTGAGGAACGATGGCACTGTGGATATCGTACTATTTCAACCTGTTAGATCATACACCTGTTGAAATTTCCTCGGTTTTATACGCCAACCAAGTTTTGTAATTAATCGGGCTTTGGCGTTTCTCATTCAATTAAAGTTTTCGTTTCTACGGCTTCACCGGTGTAGATTCATCCATGCTCTCTATTTAATGACTCGAATTCTCCCCTTCATTTGCATTCCAATATTTTCAAATGTCAATTTCGATTAATCGGTAACAATTCCCGGAAATTCAGTTGAATCATAACAATATCTCTTAGACCTCTTAAAAATCTGAACTTAAAAAAATCAATGGCACTGTAAAATGAGATAAAACAAATTTTCTATGATTTATTATCGCATCAATAATAGATATCGATCAATTAAAGAAATTACTTTAATGATTTAAATCATCTGGAATGATTTAACCGGTGAATAATTTCGTAAAGCGATCGGCGAATGTAAAAATTCCATTGAATTATTATCTAACAGCCGGGGATATCCCAGTGTGACAAATAATTATCGTAATTACCTTCATTTGGAAAAACAACGATTTGATCGGTTTTCCCATAAAAGCTCTCTGCTTGTTTCTCCGGCTCCATGGGCTCGCCGGGTCTCAATTCAAGCACGTGACCGTTAATTAGTGGCTTTGGCAGAGTAGAAATGGATATCGAAACGTCCGGTGGTTTTGACAGCCTGAGTTTCTTGAGTATCTGCTCCTTAACGTACTCGACTCTTATTTCATTGAGCATCTGATCAACTCCATCGGCGACAGGCCGATTTTTAACGCACGAAGGACACACGTGATGATACTCAGCTGATTCCCTCGTGTCCCTCTCGGTGTTTCGCTCATCACTCGATTTATCACTGTAGAACGACGACAACACAGTCTTCAGGGGCTCAATCAGGGTAAAACCCTCACTGGATGATGCAATTGTCAACGCAATTATTGACAGAAGGAGAAAATTCATTTTTTTAGATTTATAAAATAATAATTATTATTATTGAAATCATGAAATTCCTAAATCGGTGGTAACTCTCGTCCGTTCTTTTCTCATGCCAAATTCTCCGCTCGGGTAACTTCAAGTACTCAATGCACTTCACTTGAACCAACTTTCAAGAACTTGAAGGATGTGAATTACACTGGGGAGGGGATTGGGGGGACTATTGGGATGGGGATCGATGGGTTGATCGGCTTGAATTTCAAAAGGGTATTTTTTTTTTTTTTTACTAAAAAATTGGTGGTCGCTAATGCGAACGTTGGAGACGACTGGAGGTGATTGGTGACGATGGGCCAGTCATGTAGTGGACTTGGCACGAGCGACCTTTGCCCCTGTGCCCGGGGCCGACTGCCGATTGGACGCTCTACCCAGGCTTTTATCAGTGGTGTAGCACGCATCACCGACATGTCCGTAAATCTATCATTTTCAATTTTTGGAGTTCTTTGGTAATTTAACGACAGGTTTCGTCACTTTTTAATCTAGAGACGTTCAGAATTTGTCCAGCGGTCAACTATTCGCTTCAGGGGTTTAAGAATAGAGTCCACGATGAGGAAAGATCTTTGGAGATTAATCTTATCAGGATGTTTGCCCAAAATTGCGTGGTATTTTCAAAAATAGATTTCTCTTCGTTATATCAGTTTGCGAATTCGCTGTTTTTTTTTTTCAATCATAAATGTTGAATTGCTGAGAATTTAATGAAAAGCCAGGAAAATCGGGAATGTGTCCCTAGATTTTGATGAATTCTTCAATTTCCCGGTTTTCTCGCCATTTTGTGAAAATATGAAAATAATTGACAATATTTATAGTTTTAATCTTTATGGAAAAATAAATTAAACAGACAAAAAATTCAATGTATATTCTATTTTTATAATTTGTAATTTAATCTATATCTTCGCTTGAAATTAAATTAAAACTCGTCTTAATATAAATTCAGGTGACATGGTGATTGAAATTTAAAGAAATTTCTGTCAGTTTTATGACTGAATGAATGGACACGTGAATTGAAATGAGTATGACAAGACGTATTCAAAGTGGAAATAGTCCGCATGACGATTTGCGGGAGTTAAAGTGCGATTGAGTGAGGATTTGGGTGGAGGGATGAGGATTTGAGGAAAGTGGTGAATGAGGTCCGAGGAGGGGAATTTAGTACGTGACCAGGAGTACAGTTGCATGATCAGAGGAATAAATTCGTCTGGATGTGGCTGAGCGCTCTCTTATCTCCTGGTGTTATTAATTATTAATTTATCGGTGGATTGCCAGAGGGCGATCCCTGGATTCGCTGTCCACTTCCTACCTCAAATTTTACTTGCCCTCCGTTGGATATTCAATTTGAAACTTCAGTGTCAGGGCTGTGCATTAATTGAGCGGTTTAGAACAATGTTTATTCAAGTGTGACATGTTATATGCATGTGATTTCAATTTTTTTACTCTGGCTGATTGGTTTGAATGGGAGTAACGGTTGCTCAGTTGAGATTGTCCAAGTGTACGCCAATTCCCTCTAAAATTTATCCATGAATTCTGCTAATCGGTTCTTGGTAATTTTTTTTTTTCAAATTTTTGGAATTTTTGGTGGGGTTGTAGTTTCACTGGTAGAATGATTTTTTACGAACAAAATAAAATCATTGAGAAATTTATTTATAATTTTTTAATTATAGTTTTTTTCAATTCATTTTATTTATGATGCGTTTTTGGACGTGTCTCCATTTGACGATGAAAAATCCGCAAAACGCACCCCTAATGTCAGTGAAATGAAAAAAATTTTGATAATCCTGCTGCTGATGGATTCCTTGACCTCCTGTTCTCAATCCTGGTGATACTCCTCGTGTATACGCTTGGCAATTTGTCGTCGTAGCATCACCATTATGCCTCAACTCTTTTCCAATATGCAACTGAGATTTCAATATCGGTCACGGAGTTTCTGCTCGTTGAATTTCAATTTTATATTCAAGCATTGTTCAGCATCTTGATCATAAAAGTTGTCTGGAGTGGAGGGGAGAGCCACTATCGGCAGATCCTTCTCTATTTTTATTTCTCTCGGAGATGAAGAAATTTTCCAACCGAGGGAATAGCAGTAGGAATCTTCTCTTTTGTTTACAACAATTTATCGTACTCACTTTATGGAATCCGGTCTTGTCCACTGTGTTATTATGAAAGATACGAGAGTTAGTCATACGGGGGATGCGGAGAAAGACGAGAAAATTTTCACTACCCCGAGACTGACTTTTGATTATGAATAACGAGGGCACGAAGGGCGGAATAGGGGTTTCAGGGGGTGGGTTGGGGGCTTTTGGGGGATGGGGTGGATAGGGCGTTAGCTGCTGGCTCAACGGGATAATCTCGAAACTATGTTACCGCAAAAGTTTAATGCGACGACATTATTTATCTCCTGGTATTTCTTGTGCTACAGAATAGATTAAGGATTTTCCGCTACTGAATACGTCTCGCTTTTTTTTTTCCTCCACTGGGCATTTTTATTTATTGTTTATTCGGTTTTATTACCCTCCCGAGAGACAAAGTACTCTTAATTCATGATTCAACGGTGAATCAGAAGAAAAACCTCGAAGATTTTGGGTTATATCTGTTGTGACCTCTTTGGCTAACTTTGGGGGTGATTTTTTTCTGGGATGATATTCATATCCTTCTTTTTTTTTAATTATTATTTACGAGGTGAATGTGCGATAAAAATTTAAATTCCAGTTTATGATTGGAGGAACCATCGGGGATGATAAAAAAATTCGATTTTGGAAAAATATTACGGCCTTCCATCAAAAATTTTAAACCCTTTGAATTTTTCCGAGTCAAGTGCCTTGTTAAATCACAAAAATATCGGGGCATTTTCACTTCGATTTCCTCCTTTTGCTTTTACATGCAGATTTATGTTAAACATCGTTCTATCCGGATAATCGATAGAGGCCTCTATTTGAATGCACGTGGCGGCAGTTTTTTTATTTTCTGGAAGAGGTATATTTTGTTGAGTGGCAACCGGGGGTAAAATAAAAAATAACCGGCGAGATTGTCGGGGGGGGTGGGTGGGAGGTATGCGGAGGGGTTATTGGGGATCGGAAAACCGTGGCGACACGACAGGAAAATCCCAGGGCTTTCGACGACCTCCGGAGGCCCTTATCGCACACGGGATATACAGGTCCTGTGTATTCCATTCTTTCTATTTTTCTTCGTCCTACCGCCCTATTTCAAATATTTTTCCTATCCTTTTTATTTGGAACTCGTTTGCTCTCGAACAATCCACGGACGAATAAATAGCCTCACTGTCGATCTCTTCGATCTGTATTTCCCGTCCGTTTCGCGTTATTATTTGAGTTTTTCTTTTCTTTCTCATCCTTTCATTTTCATGGATGGAATAAAAGAGTTTTCCAATAACTGTGGATCTCAAGGGATAATGGATCGAGGGAATTTGTTAGTCCCGATCGCTCAGTTTTTATTGGGGGTACGAAGATTGAGTTTAGTGCCAAATTATCTGGAAGATATATTCACACCCGCGTGGCTCAATTTTTGCCACTATTTTTATTCGAGAAAATAAAATGAGCTTTCCCTAAAATCGCAGATATCAGTTTTCACGTTAATTTCCAAGTGAAGATAAATCTCCCCAGGAAATTCTGGAATTCAGTGAAGGACTTTCCAGAATTGTATTGATTGTTTATTAATTTTCGTTTTACAATGAAATATTTCCTTGAGTTTTCATTAAAAATCTTGTTAAAATTCAATTATTGCGGTAAATATTCCATTAATATGCATTAAATTAATAAAATTTTCACCACAAGTATTTATGGAAGTGGACAGATGCACGTGAGAGGCATCTCCCACTGATTTATTCATTTATTTATCACTCCATAATTCTGGAAAAATCAAATTCATCAAGCGATGTATCATAACCCACGCCCGAGAGATACCACATGTCTCATCCCTCTGCTCGTTCAGAGTGCCCTCTTTTTTCCTTCCAACCCCACCCTCTGGGGTACAATAAATTTTTCCCTTCCACCTCTTACCACTTCCTAGTGCGTCACTCGTGTTACCGTTGTTGTATGCACAACCCCTCACGGATTAGAACCAAGTGGATGATGAAAACCCCAACCGAGTACCTTCCCTACCTCAACTACCACTACTATCCAACCCGTGAGTGGTAGTTTTATTTATTTCCCTCCTTGGAGGAGGTTCTTATAGTGTTGGTGGCTTTTTCCATCCCGGTTGAATACGCAGGTGCCATTCCCAGAGAAATCTTTTTACAGCGGGTGAATAGCTTGTTGTGTTGAACAATCAGGTGGAAAAATAAAATGACGTGGGGGATTATGAAAAAAAAAAATCGGTCATCCTTTTTCGTTGGTCTCCATATCATTTTCAATTTTTATAATTATCGAATATCTTGACCCCACGAGAATTTTTTAATTCATTAAGAAAATAATTATGTTATCCTCACGTAAATTACCTATCACAACAACACAACTCAAAATATTGCCTCAAAGAATCAGAACAAATATTATATCTAAAAAAATGATTGCTTCAAAATATTACAGCTAGAAAATATTTTAATGAGACATATTAATTCGAAATGGTATCATAACACGAAAAAAAAACATAATAAATTCTCATATTTGGTATATAAATGTCAATGGTTAATAAATATTTGTGGATTCCTTGGGGAGCCTGGGTTAATCCCCAGGACATAGCTGATGTCTCGCAAATTCACGGAGTGTCATTAGATTCACACGGCAAAGGAACAATCCTGCGTTTGATTACACGAAGCATCTGGCACGACAATGAGTGTAATTACGAGGCAAATCTCAACGTAACGCCTGTCTCGAGGAATTCATCTACTTTACACAATCCCTCAGTCACTCCTATCCAGAGTGAATTGAGGACAATAGTCGTCGTCGATAAAGCACGAAGCCCAAATTGAATGAGTGTCTCGTCGCAGTGACAGTGATCAGCATTTTTTTTTTCTCCACCGTTTGTCCGTTTCTTTGTGTCAGTAATGTGACATTACGTCATGGATACATTACGTCATTTGGGTTTGTTTACGAAGGCAAAATAGCGCGTCTGCATTCTCGCCGAGTTTGCGGGTGCAATTGGAACGTTTGTCCCGAGAATTCCAATAATCATTAAACAAACAATACTCGTTTTTTAAAACAAAATTTTTATTCAATTTAGTAAAAAAATAGAAAAGGTTATTTACAGTTCTCTTTTTCGTAGTTGTATTCAGAATAAATATGAAAATTTTATCAGTTTTTGGCGATACGTGCGAAAGCTGCGTAATTAGCGATTCCACAGCGATTTCGGTTCTTCCTGATTCTCATGTATCCGTTTTCACCCCAGTTATTACCCCACCAGTTTTTTAGAATCCAGTAATCCGGGGTGTAGCCGACAATTAGCATTGCGTGATTGACACTGTCGGAGCTGCACAGTGGATCGTCGTAAATTCCTGTGCTGAAGAAAAAATGCAGAAAAAGTAGGAATTAATTTTTTTTTTAAGAAACAAAATTCATAAACTTTTCCTGACGATTAAAAGATGATTCTGATTTTTACGAGGGAAAGATGCGAGGATTCCCTGATACGAGAATAATTTCATAATGCGGTTTCCATTTTTTAATTATTTTGTGAATTAAAAATTCTATAATTCCTTGAAGAATGTAAAATAAAAAAAAGTGTTCATCGTGTCGGAGAAATAATGTTCGATCACAAAAAATTAGACTGATAGGTTGGGATTGCAGGAATCATAAGGCCGGATCGTTGAATGCAAAAGCGATTTCAACGGTCATGACCTTTAAAGTGGCATAAATCATTGGTACATGGAATGGAGAGGGAGTGGAGAACATCGAAGACGAGTAGAACTCGGGGAATAATTTAATATCGAGAGTGGAGAGAATTTCTCTTTTCATTTTAAAAGCGTCGCGACCGTCCGAAGGCGACGATGCGCGAAAGAATTGGCGGGTACGATAATCTGGGAATTACTTCCAATAGAAAAATTGCACCCAGAATGGGAATTAAATTTCCGCCAGACAAGTCTATTAATTATTCAATGAGACATTCTATAATTTCCCATATTCTACTGCAACCAATCACTCGAACTTATCTCCTCAATTTCTGTTCTTTATTTTTTTCCGGATTTTTAGGAAGTTTGAAAAAATTTTTCAACTGAAAGGAGATAGAGATCATTGAATGTGGCAAATTTATAAATAACAGGTGATGGGGTACTTTACTTACTGATACAGCTGAAATGTCTTGGGACTGGCGTTTATGGATGTCGCAATTGGTCCAACAGTTGCCACAGCAGCCTCTAGTGCACGTTCGTCTCGAGCTGGCAGAATTGCCCAGGATGTAATATTGACGACACTCATACCATCATGGTATCTGCACACGCCTTCCTACAATTGCAGTACAGAGATAAGTCCTACACCAACTCAGAGACTTATTTTTTCAATTTTCCCACTAAATTTTCAGTAATTATTATTCTAAAATGTTGGGTTTCATTTTAAATCGGAATGACTATTCCTATCCTATTCTAAAAGCGACACTTTTGATACAATCGATTATCTCGAAAATCTCGAAATCATGAAGCCACGATTCCTTATTGGTCCGCCTGAAATGGCGCGAGATTACAAAGTCGTAACTCTCTTTCAAAAATCGTTTTATACGCGCGCGCTGGCGCGATACAGGATCTCGTGAATTAAAAAACGACATGAGAATAATTTTGCTTGTTAACACGGTGAAATTAACTAGATCCGCTTTTTTAATGCGGGAATACTCACCCTGGCATTGTATGGATAATTAACCTGGGCCATAAGACCACCTGATCTCTGTAGGTATTTCATTGTATTTCTGAGGGAACCACCGGCGCAACCGAGGTTACCAGTAATGGTGCTGCAATCGACGAGCTGCTGAGCACTCAGTGGTATCACTTCCTTTATCTGTTTGAACAATTGACCTTCAATACTCTGTGCTATTGAATATGCGTAACAGCTACCGCAATCACGTTGATTCACCGCTTTAGTTATGAATCCATATTCACGCCAGTCTAGGTTCTTTGGAATTAAACGGGGATCGTGATGTACTGCAGCCACCATTTGGTCATCGCTCACACGTCTTTTTCTACTGGGAATCAATTTTACCTGCGTCGATATCAATATCCAGTAAAAATTACGCAAATCAAAATCAATTACACCTGAAATTTTTAATAATTACAAAATCATAAGAAATTTATGCGGAAAATTCCAGGTCCGTACTGAAAAATCCTGAAAATATTAAAAATCGAAGTAATAATTCCCCGGAATTTTAAATCTGCTTGAAGAATACTGAAAATTGAGGCTCTCAAGCATTTTTTTGATTTCCTAAATGCCTGATGAATCATGACCATTTTCAATTGAATGTGAAAGTTCATTTCGGATGATTTTTTGAAGTTCTTATAATAGAGGAAAGTTTTCCATTAAAAAAACTTGACATTTTGTTCTATATTAATTCTGTTTTTATCAAATGGAGTAAATATTATTGACAAGACGATGTGCAAGTGTTCTAGAAATTCTTACATACCAAATCCTTGTGGTACTCTCTCGAACAAAGATCCGCGAGGTGATTGTCCCTAAGTCTATAGCTGTGATGGCCTGCCTCCGCCTCGAGGTTATGCCCGTAAACCTTCATCACATTCTGCTCCCATGCTGCACGCTTACAGGACTCCTCCCTACCGTTGTACGTCTTGTTGAAGTTATTCTAGTGAGGAAATAATCGTTCAGTCCACCTGGTATCGCATTACAAGTTGCAAAAAAAGTCTCCAATAAAAAGCAACACAAGAAAGAAAAAAATGAAACACTTGTTATCGTGTATCACCTTGTAGAAGTGCCAGTACTCGTCCAACTTCTGGGATATCGTTTTCGGCAATTTTTTAATATTACCGAAGCGCAATAGTCCCTCGATGGTGATCAATTGCAGAAGGAGCAGAATTAATGAGCACTTGAAGAACCTCATGATGGCTCCGATGAATTAGCTTAACTGTCCTCACGGTGTCAACGATATTCCACCAATTTCTTCTTTCGCCGTCGTCAGCAGAATTCAAACAATCAGGTAATTGGGTGAATATCATAACAATTCGCGTAAGTTATTTCGAGGTAACGAAGTATCGATGGCCCTGGGAAAATTTAACGAGGCTAATTAAAACACGTGAGGCATTCAGGATGTTCAGGCATTTTTAGAAAATCTGTTTATTAAAGGATTAAAGGATTCTGTAATTACTTGATTTAACTGAAAACAGAACCTGCTCGGAAATAACTTTTTTCATGCTAAAAAAAATACTCGCAGTTTTCCTATATATTCCCAGATGATGAGTGCTTTCATAATAATGTTTCAGTATAATGTTGAAAAATAATTAATTTGTTGTGAGTGTACTAAAATTCTATGAAATTCTCGTGAACGAAACCTCGACGCCTGGAAATGATATGGTCGAAAAGTTTCGTTTCGATACGAAAAATCGAAAATATGTGTAAAATGTTAGACGTTGATTTAATATTGTGGAATGAATCCATTAGTAAGTTGAAGTATCAGTTCGCAAGCAAACGAGGGGCCAAACTTGATCTCCAATAGCTCTCGGAGAGGTGCACATGGTTTGGCTTTACCGAGCTAATTATCAAGTAACAAGGGAAAAGCCCCAGCGAGATAGATCCTCCCACTCTTGGTGCCCTGACATCCCTGACTGCTCCATATACCCGGGGTTTGAATTGAGTTAAGCATCAAGGTTGATACTGTTCCACTTGCCTTTGGTCCCCGATAGCCAATCGATCGATAGATCTCGGTCTTATGGGAGTAGAATGCCCGTTTGAATATACCCCAGTGCCATTAGCCGTCAGGATTATATTGATACACCACAGTATCCGGTGCAGAGACAGCTATGGGTGGCAAAATGCCTCCAGCAAACTCTATATTTTGGCGATTCCCTAATTCCTGTTGATAATTTTCCAATATAAGCAAGTATTTCTCAAGTATCAGCTTTGAATTCTCAGGCATTTATTCGCATTTTGATTGTAAAATCCAGGAAAATTCATTTCTGGAATAAGTGATTGAATGGGAATTAAAAAAAAAATTCATGTTCAAATTGTGTTAAATTTTGTTATGTAATTATTGCTTTGGTCGCAATTTCAGTTCGACCGGTCAAGTATTCAAGAATACTGTCTAAATTCCAAATCGACTGCCCTTGGGGAAATTCCTAGTTTTTAAGGTCTTCCAAGTAATTAAAGATTCTAAAGTTTTTTCCATAATATTCAAGTCCATAATTCGTAATTCAAAACGTAAAATGATCATTCCGATTTTTTGCGAGAAAAGTACAGGAAAAATGACATAATTCATTTTAAAGGTAATCCATATTTTACTCGGATCTCGCGGTAAAAATCCTCGAGCAGCGCCAATTTTACCTCCTGAGATAATTTTTAAAACAAATTCCCCCTGTTTGTGAATAGCATAAATGAAAATGCAGAAATAAGCAAGCGCTCTGAATAATTTCGCACGCAACCTTGGCCGCATTTATTCCCCATAAATTCGCACAACCGCAAAATTTCCAAACTCCCTAAAAGTAGCCGGGGAATACCTGTAAATAAGCCTGAAAAAACCGGTCGACCTTCTGCAACACCTAAATCGAAATTCCAAACGGTTCGCAAATCCCGTAACGATATTGCATTACGAAAACCCGCGTTTCGTTAACGTTTCTCCGCGATGCAAACAGATGTCGCATCAAGTCGATGATCCACGTCGACGAGATCGAGACTATCGAACAGTTCGCGGGGATAATGACACAATTTCTCCATACATGCAGAAAGAATTTGTGGTAGTTGAACAACTCTCTCATTCCCGTGTCGTTGCGATTGAAGTCACAGCTGTTTTTTTTTTAAAGAAAAAAAAATCAATTTAGCCATCGATGATGCGCGTTTCATTCCGCTTGTTCCGTGTTTATCATGCCCAATCCAATTCCACATCGTTTGTCTGGGATTATTTTTTTCATGTGCGCCAGTGGCTGAGCGCTCACCAACGGTTTAATTCATTCACTTAAATAGCGGACAGTGAAAGATTTGAGTTGATAAAGTTTAGAGGCTAGTGGGTGAACGATGATTCGGGAGAGTTTCAGTGGTGATTGTTTCTTCTGCATGGACCATTTGTTAAATGATTATTTTTGATTAATTAGTGGTGTCGTTTGGGATGAGCCGATGAGTTGATGTACTTTTGGATAGCGCCGTCGAGGGCTAGCTAGCGCGTTCCATTTCTACTTATCGTGGATATTGTGTTCGGGATTGGGATTTGAAAGAATTTTTTTTTATTTCGTTCTTTCGGTATCTATCGGTGTTTGGACAGTTGTCGTTTGGTTGAACATTAGTCGTGGCGCGTCACTCGGAGCGAATGGTTATTTTAACGTGGAGTTTTTCGAGTTTTTATTATTTTCGTTTGAATCGAGGACGAAAGGATGGACGAGTCTGGGATTGATATGGGATTTGATCTTGCTGCCCTCAGCAATGCACAGGATTTGGATATTGATAATAGTGATTTTGATCAGGCCCTGTCCATGTTGTCGAGTTCTCAGGACTTCATGTACTATGAGCTCAAGAGTCGCGCACCTGACACCTGCAGGTAATTGCATTTATTTTGGCTTTTTTTTTTGTTTTTTTTTTTGGCAGTCTTCGTGGGTTGGGGGTGTGGGGGATTCGACCTTTTGTGGGTGTAAGTGGAACACAAATAGTTCTGTGATGGAGGAGTTCGAAAGCGAGAATGACCTGCACTTGAAGTGAAAGGAAGTGCATCGCTCTCTGTATCGCAATGTGTTTTTGTGATGTACGATGGGGAGTCTGCATTGTGGAATATGTTTTCTATTTCCCGGGTTTTTCTTTCCCGCTTTCGATAAATTCTCCGGAAATGCCAGGCAATTCCAGGGATTTTCCGAATTAATTTACGGGGGGAATGAATTACGAAATGTGGATTTCAAATCTGACATGAAAGTTTTTCTTTGATTGAGATTTTAGATGACTTATTGAAAAGTGTAGGGTTTTTGATGAGATGAGATATATTTGCCGATTCGGTCTCTAATTTTGGAAATTGGACGATTTTCGTAATGAGCAAATCAAATAAAATTGTTTGACGGCAATTTAAAGATTAATATTATGAGAAAAATGTGAGAATCACGAAACATGATGATGATATCGTCGACCAATGGCATTTTCCGCGCCTTCTAGTTGGCGCTAATTGTTCGAACACGCGGGGCACACGCCGATACAATATATGTATAGACTGTTGTCAATCTAATTGTTTTATGGACAAATAGAGTTGCCGCTTCAACGAAGGACATATCCATGTTTAAACCCGCGCTCATTGTTCAGTTTATGGTTTTCAAATAGGGACACGTCGTCGCACGTGAATAAAATTTGTAAAATCTGCTATTAAAACTTTTTCGCAAATTCATATCATATCTTTCAAAATTTAAAAGGAATTCGTCAGTGATAATTCGGAATTTTAATTAAACACTTATACAATCAGACCCGAGGGTGAGTTTTGCTGTGGGAATATTTTTTATCGGCGTAGCTTATGAAATCTGACATTCGCGGGCAATTGTGGAAGAAACCGCGGAGCAGAAAAGTCGTACAATAGCGGAGGAATTTATTCGAATTGAAATATTTCCAGGCGAATTACCCAACTCGAAAAGTTCGATGGGCCGTGTGTATACATTTGCAGTTCTGGTAACTTCGTTTACCCCTTCTAGCACTCGTTTCCACAAACTTCAATTCCAGTTTTACCGAAACTTCCCTCCACCCACGTGTCGACGCATTTTTCCAATTCGTGGGTATAATTTCACATTTCCGCAGGGATTTAAAAAGGAGTTTGAATGATAATGAGATAAAAATAAATAAATGCAAATGGTTGTTGGCGACCTTTTACAATCACACTGGTTATCGTGGCAATAGTTTTATCACATCGACAGACGTGACGGAATGACAACAGATAAAAAAAAATGGAATGATGACTGTACATAACAACGAAATATCAGTAATTAAATAAAAATTTCCCAAAGTACACGTCACGGAGATTCTCCTCATTAAATTTTTTTTGAAACTCCAATCTTTCAGACGCTCCTTGAGGCGTAATCTACGAACAATAAATTCTCAAACAATTTATCTCAAACAATTTATCCGCAATTTTTCTTCTCGTTCTGTACTTCATGAAAAAAAAACTCCATGAACTTCACGTGTCATCAGAACAAAAAGTCAATTCAATACTTCATTCCTAACCGAGACAAGAATGGAGGATTGGAGCGTCTCGAAGGTTCTTATCCGATCCATTTTTTTTCATCGATAAATAATAAAAATGCCGGGATTTGGTATGGATGTATACAGGAAGAAAGAGGAAAGTCGGTGGGTAGTGGATACAAGATGGAATGAATGTTGGGCGTTGAAAGCGGATATTGTCGAACGGTTATCGTTTTAACCGATGTGCTTTGCTTCCATACACTTTAGACCGCTTGAGTTAAGCGTTATTGCAACAGGGGGTGGTTTGGGATGGATTTTGAGAGGGGATAGATATAACGTAAGACGGTACCTAGAGTATCTCCGAGATGGTTCTTATATACAAGCCCTTGACTCGCTATCCACCCACCAAAACACACGGGGCCCTAGGTTGGAGAGCAAATAACAGCTGCCGGAAACGTTCTTCTCTCGACATAATAGTTACAGTTATGCTGGCAAAAGCCTGTGATACAGAGGGGTATTCGAGTTGAGGTAACACTTGAAATTGTGCATTTGCGAGGAGCTCATGTTTGGGGTACAAGTTAACGGGGTAAAGCCGGATGTTGCATTATCCATGAATATTATGGCATTTGTTGAGGGGTGGAGAGAGGGCAAAACCTACGGGAAACTGGCCAATGTGGATACCACTAGTCTAGCCCAGTTATTTCCTACTGCCTTATCCCCAATCACTCGTTATTTCAATATTACGGCTTTTATCCGCAACGCCTCATTTTTTTTTTCACTGATAAATTATCAGCGATAATTGTCTGTCGCGGAATTTATTATCGCTCTGAGGCCCGAATACCACCGAGCTGATCCTGACAAATTCCTCATTGTCAGTAAATCAGCATCTTTATTCGATTTATTGTCTAATTACTGAGCTTATTTGGTTATGCATTAACGTGGGAACTTGTTTTAAGAAGTCCGAGTCGTTTATGTTCAATGGATGTCTCGTCTCACTGTGATAGACCACACATTCGAGTTAATAATTAAACTTACTCGAATAATTGATGACTTATGCTGTGTCAGGAGTTCATTTTTTTACGTTAATATTGATGCGGACGAATTATTTTATATATTGTAACTTAAGCTAGCACTGCATTGAGTTTATGGAAACTATAACAAGTCGGACGTCTTAGGAACGCGCACTGTCACTCCTTCTAAAAAGAACTGTCTCGATGTTGGAAATCAAGTGAAGTCTTTCCTTATTACCCTCTAGGGCCTAGAGGGTAATAGAGTCTAGGCCGAGCCTTTTTTCACGAGGGCCTCCCTTACGATGAGTAGGGATATTAGCCATGCTCTAATTGATGGAAAGTAATTATCAGCACTGTGACTGGTTAGTTTGAAGGTTTGGCATAGGTCATAAAAATCCGCGTGGAGTAAAATATTCTAGCTTGGGTTTTGCAAGATACTACATTTGACTGAGACATTCGACCCCCTCCAATGCAAATAATATTTTTTTAATACGAAATAATGGATGATTTGCTTATTTTGAATGAACTGGAGATTATTGATAGGGAAAATGCAGCGGATATTAACAGTACCTCAAGTAAAGGAATATTTTAAATTTTAATGGAAACACGGGAAAATCGGGAAATCCTCGAAATGAGGATTCATTCTCTCATATTCTGGTTCAATATGATCTCATGAGATTCGCGAGGAAATTCTGATAGGAATTTCCATGAATTGTATGCAGTTCTCGTATCAGGATTTATTGAGGTCGGGCAAATGCTCCGGATGACAGTTATAATTATTCCCAAAATTGAATGTTTGATTTGTGAAGCAGCGGTTTAAGAGAATCACATGCTAGAACACGCGCAATATCCCATGGGCCATCAAACACGTCGATCTCTTGAGCTATTCCGTACTATCAGGCGACTACGATAATCGCGTGTAGGAATCTCCTTCCAGCTTCCAGTAAACTCGCTTTATAGCTCTGTGCAAAATGGTGAGATACGAAATTTTCACACAATAATTTTCCAACCTTTTCCCCTATCTCTTGTGAAATGATGTTCCCAGTCGTACGTACACCACAAATTAATGGGAAACGAATGATGGGTTTTACCTGCGATGTACCATCGTTCTTTTTTTTATTGGAGATTTTCAAATAGAAAAAATATTACGATGGACATCCGGTTTTTATTGCTCCGGTGGATGCGGATTTATTGGTTTCTCTTACTCGATGATATGTCGCGTCTGGTTAGAATACAGGCATGTGGAAATAATTTCCACCTCAATGGAAGTGCACTTCTCAAATATTCTCTTTCGAGATGGCCGGTCTTCAATCCGGTTGAACATTCGATCATTCACGATCCAACAAATATCCATCCGAGAAAGTAAAAAAAAATTTACAATGAACCAGGACAATTTTCCCACTGAATACCTACAAAATTCATAGCGAAAACTTTTAACAAATAAAATAACAAATAATAAACTTATAATTCTAAACTTGAATTCCATTTCAATTAAATTATCGGGTTATCTTTCAATCTTCTTCAATTACCTTAAATTACCAGTGATGAATTTCCAGTGAAATCGGGGAAGTAATTTTCCAATGATTACCCACATTTTTCTTTAGAACAGAATAACCGAATATTGGCGCTGTGCGTATGAAACGTCAGAGTATCTCATGTATAATGTCCAAGTGGCAACCTCACCGGGTGATTTTCATGAGCCAGTTTTAGTAGCGTCGCGACGCCCGTGAGAAGCTCCTCAGAAAAAAAAGCCAGTGGTTACGTATTCAGTGATTGGACGATGCGTGACACCTCGGAGGCCAAGCGCCAAATAATCGAGTTCGAGGAGTTGGTGAAACGATTGGATCGAATAAACGATCTCAAGGATACCACCACCACCACCACAAATTCATCATCCTGCCGTCGTCCATCAAATACCCTCGTATCATCGTACACGTGTTCACCGATAAGATCGTCACCCTATGCACGTCAGGATGGTCCATCGTCCTATCCTAAGTGCTACCGCGAGGACAATAAACGGGTTCGCGTTAACATCGGCATTGATGAGGATCTCAGGATGATCCTGGAGATGGATCCATCGATTGTTGATAGACAGCCGGTACAGACCACTGATATCGTGGCCAATTGCACGATGGTAAACAGTAGGACAGCTGCCATTGCAAGGCCGCCGCGTGCTACACGACCCCAAGGCTGGTACTGGAGACTAACATTAGTGACTAATGATGTTCGTCTATTCATATTTACGTTTCTTTATCTGAACACGTGCGCAGACCGGTTGCCCATCATTGTTCCCATACTATCGGATGCAAGTCCACGTCAAGACAAATTTATTGCATAATTTATCGCTCAAAAATTCCATGTCAGTCTCACTGGGATTTTCACC